CGACGATTAAGTCAGGTAATCGAAACGGTGAATTTGATAGGGGAAGAGTCCGCTCCGCAGAGAAACATTATTGTAAGTAAAAAAGCAATGCCCGACGTGCGTCGCTAAAGTGCATAATATTATCGTAGTTTAGCTTTACACCAAGCTATGCAATGAAGGAAACATGTTTACCTCAGTAAAATCAGGTACATAAACTTTGAACGGAGACAGTGCGCTGTTCCTCATGAAGCTTTTTGCCTCAGATGCACCAGTCATTTTTTAAAAATGCTACGGCTACTTTTGAGAAATGAATTTATCACTGACGGCCCTCGATGGCTTCACGGCAAACTCGTGGGAAGAGGACGTGGTGGCAATGTGTGTAAGAGATAGTCTCCGAATTCCGGCGAACGGATACCTTTGCTTAACTAAGAAATCCCTTGAACAATATACTTACCACAAGTTACTTCAGACAGGGGTTGCTCAGTCGATAAAGTGTCTGACTCAGGGCCGAGAAATCCCGGGTTAGAGCAACAGCCAGAATCACTCGCCTTTCTTTCAGAGGTAGATAACTGAGTGTCACTCTGTGTGAGCGAAACAGAAGACAACACAGTACGCTTGTCACATAGTCATACATAGCCACTCTTGACTGTGCGTTTAAAATAAGGTATTCATGGCTGGTGACATGGAAACAGAAATCAGCACTCCTACCAAATGAACTTCATGAATGTCCACGAGGGATCCAGAACGATCCGGTCATGAAAGTGCAAGGAAGACGGATATCCGAACGGTTAAAAGCTTTCGTTTCTCCTGAGTAATGGAAAGACGATCCAAATCACAAATCCAGAAGGAAATACTGAACCACCCGCGTTTTAATGCTTGAAGAAAAGGTGGGCAAACCAGTTATCATGCCGTCTACGCCTTAAACAAATGATAATGATGCATGAACTAAAACGATGAAATATTTCTGATATTTGTCTGATGCACGAAAAAAACGTCTTGTCGACTGTGGTGACGACGATCTGAAAAATCGCATGCGAAAACGTTGCTTAAAATTCGTCTCGCATGCCATGCCCCTATGTACGCCTCTAAACCAGCATCGCATCGGTCACTGTCAAATTTGTAGTATTTTTACGGCAAATAATTGTGTACTGCGAAGCTTTGTCTTCCACCGAATCTTCCGCAGCCTCGTCAAAATCATCCAGTTTCTCGAGCGCTTCCAGATCTTCATCCGTTCCACCTTCGAGTTTCACCACAACTAGAATTGTACGTTAACAACGGCTGACAACAAGAGTGTACCGCAAGAGACCGGCGTCCATCAATTTAATAAGGTTTCTGCCGTTGGTGTGCTCTAAGTCGCAACGATCCAGCCAGCCCTTTTGCCGCAATTCAAGAAACACTTCGAGACGACGTCGCACAGCTGACAACTGTTCTTGACGGCGCTTAGCGCTGTCCTCCGGGTGGTACTTTAAACGAAACCTTTAAACATGCACGCGTAACGGACATGAACGAAAACGCAAATACGTCAATGACGAAAACAAAATTATAGCATCAGTTTCTCAAGCCGAAACGTAATGGTCAACGAATGAGGGAACAACAACAGACGACAAGCAAAGATATAGACAGAAGGAAACTGTGGAGGTACGAAGACCCGGCATACTGTGGCAAAAACTTTCGATCGGTTCGTACTGTTGGCGATTCTTAAGCGAACCACTAGCCGTCAAGGAGTGCTGCCAAAAACTACGTTGTCGAACAAAATAGCATTCACTAGTACGGTTAACAACGTTTTGCAGAAAAGACTTGTGATTCGTACTTTCAATTATTAACCTTCATTCAGTGATTGATAATGACGTCCGTCAATAAGCAACACTTATGCAGAAACGTGTATGATGTGATAACGATTAAGTTCGATGTCCCTTGCACGTTTGGCGATGAAGCGACAATGACCAACTGATGTGTGCAAGAATCATTATGTGCTCAGACGAATAGTTAAAAGGATTACCTCAATGCCATCAGCATGTCAACGAACGATGAACTAGACGACCGTACAACCGGTCAGCGCTGACGACGCCGTCAAAGCGTTCACGAAAAACATGGCCGACTGCATGGGCTAGCTTTCGCTATCCCAACCGTAACAGAACACAGCAATGAAACAAACAAACACTTCAATCGACAGTACGCAAACAGCGCATTCGCTCAGCACCATTCTGTCCATCATATGCAAAACCACGACCGCTGCATCAGGACCAAAAAACCGCCAGAAAAGAAAGAACCACATCTGAGCGAAACTATTACTTTTCTCATTTAAAACTAAAACTACTGATTTCCCTCATTTTTCGGTCAATCGAATATGACTTAGAACGTTGGGCAGATGACTTCCGCAAACGGAAAGAGACGAATAGCAAAGAACGCCTAGTTCTTTCTCGTGTTGCAAATACTGAACAACAAGTCAATGAGAACAAACTTGTTCACAGTTTTGTATAATCGTTTCGTTTCAATACTAAAATTCTCACTGCTGTTAATTTTTCATGTTTTAATATGGACAGAATTTTTGAAGTTTCTTTCATCTGTGCTGAAAAGCAGCATTTCTTAACGATTCCGCTGAAGCAGCAAGCTTCTCGGCTTTTCCAACTTTTCAAACATCATTCACGGCATTGAAGTACCATCTTGTAGGACAGGATAGTGGAAACTACAAGCTGTACATTTCGCAGAGCTGTAGACACGGAACAGGAATGCAGATGAGGCACCACAAGCTCCATGAAATGTAAGGTGACCTAATTCGTGACATCGTGAAAGTGTAAGAGAAATCGATATTCCATGGTAACAACATTTCTTTTCTTCACAGCTGCACAATACCGCAAGCGATGGCATGAACTTCTGCACTATGACAATGGTCACTGCAACAGACGTACGCTTTCACTGTACTGCAGACTCAGATGTAGTATGTAAGGCTTCATGAGAAAACAATCCTAGCAACAAACTGATGCGTAGTGTTCCCACGACGCTCTGCTGAACGAGATAACTACGAATACTTTACGCTAGCGGGCATCCACTATTAACAGACATAATCGAAAAAAGCGTAATAAACGCAAAACAATAAGAAGTCTCGAAAGATGGATGAAACTGACGACACT